CATCCAGCAACCGGACGAGCCGCAGAGACCCGAGTGAAGCGTGCCAACGCCAGACGGTCCCCACCGGTGACCTCGCTTATCAAATGGCCAGGGAAGGACAAAACCACACAGCGCTCACAGACCAGTTAGCGGCCAGGGCTGGGGGGAGGTGGGCGGAGGGAGTGGGTGTGGCTGAGGACGGAGGGGCCTCGAGGGGAAAACGTTGTCCCGGGCAGGGCAGGGCGGCCCACACCCCGTGAGGCTGTGGCCAGCCTCGCGCCACGCTCCCGCCGGGGAAGCTGGGACACGCGCTGTCACGCCTCACGACTGCACGTGACCCATCGGTGCGCTCGGAGTACTTTAACGTTTGGGGGGCTGCCTAGCAGTCCCTTACATCTCTTTCCCCCCGGAGTATTTGGGTGCATGTTCCTTCACAGCCTCCTCCCATGAAAATTATTTTCTATGGAAAGAAAATAACTGAGTAGCTCCCCTAGCTTGGCGCCTTGAATTTATCAGTTAGCTTTAAAAAGTTTCTGCCAGCTTCGTAAGCCATTATCCGTGAGTCGCGTACGTTTTTAGGGTGACGGCCGTCTGTCAGACTCACAGATGAGATGTTTGACGCCAGGCCTTCGTGTGTGCATGTTTTGTGCACTCGCCTGCCTCTGTGCAGTGACCTTTGTCCCATCGGTGACTGACGACCCCTTTGCTCACGGGAACCGCTGCAAACCACTTCCACTCAGCCTCGCCCACTCCCTGCTCGGGGACACTTGGCAACGTCCAGGAGACATGAACTGTCCCGCTGCAAGGGGTGGAGGGTAGTGGTTCTGGGGGCGGGGCACAGGACGGCCCACCGCCCGGTACCCAGATGCCAGGGGAGCTGGGCTGGGAGGCCCGTCGCCGATCGAGACGCCCAAGGCTCCTCCGGCACCCCAAGGGGACTGAGCCGCAGTCTCGGCCAACTGCGCCGACATGCAGGTGGCACGGGGGGCGGGGGCTGCAGTGTGCTCCGCGCTCGGGCGTCGGTGGGCACCTCTCAGTGGCCCGCTCACTCGGTCCTCACGGCCACCCCTTGGCATGAGGCACAGGACTGTGTCGGAGCTCGAGGGCTGGGGCCCGAGCCAGCCCGGATCCTCCGTGCCGGTCTGCTAGGGACCAGCGGGCAGCTCGGTCAGCGCCGGGTCCCAAGGCCACAGCCCCCTGCTCCCCGCTTCTGTCTCACGGCTGCGGGCTATTTACCTTTGGTTTGTGTTCTCAAAGGGAGGGTTCTTATTTGTGTCAATAATTGGAGAAATACTCCGAGTTACCAAACTAAGTGATTTTACGCTAACTTGCCAGTTTCAACGGATGGCAAGTTAGAGCCATTGTGGATAATGGCGTCTGCCGGCTCCCGGAGCCAGCGCCGAACAGCCACGAGGCGTCACTGGGCGCCTCCCTTCCGGGCCGGCCGTGTCCCTTCTTCCCTCTCTCCCTCCTCCAGCTTTTTCTTGAAGGCACTGCCGTCCGGCCTTTCCCCTCATGCCCTCTGACCCTGACAGCCCGGCCACTTCCCGGGTCGGAGGGAACCTGGCAGGCCTCCCGGTCACTGTTTACATTTCTCGGATGCACCCGGCCATGTGGACCCAAACGCCAGCGAGCCCCACGGCCCCGGGGGGGGTAGGGGGGTGTTCACTGCAGGTCACATGGCTGTGAAGCCATATCACTGGGACATTACCCGTAAGGACATTCACCGCGGCCACCGTCCTCAGGACTGAAGGCCCCGCTGCCCCTGCGGCCCCACAAGTGCGAGGGCACCCCGGCCTCCTCCCCAGCTGTGTGGAGTCGCCGTCCGCGCTCTCCCCAAGCCCGGTCACTCGGGGACACAGGTACAGGCGGTGCTGCCACAGCACTGAGGGTCTGGGGG